AATGTAATATTTCCTTCACGTTGCCCAGGGACGAGCACAATTGCCCTTCGGCCAATAAGATTACGCCCCCGTCGTCTGTTTTTTGTCAGATTGAATCCAGCCTCATCAATGTAAATACACTCATGAGGCTGAGCAGCTCCATCCATGGCGAGCATTCTCTGCAAGAAAAAGTACATATTACTGTACTGTACAGTACTGTATGGATAGCATTACTCAAAGTACACAACTACACTGATACAGAATTGAACCACCTCATCACACAGGGGCCGGTTTAGCTTTCTGAATATACAGTGTCAATGTGGTACTGATCCAATGGTACAGACTCAGCTATTTGACTGCTCCTCTTTTGTATTGTAAATGTAGAGGACTGAAACACTTACCTGTACGTATTCACGTCGAAGTTCCTTCACTATGGCATTGTTCCTTTGAAATGGAACCCTGTACAGTTGTTTCATTGTGATATGGTGCTTTGTCAAGATGCGTCTAATGGTGGTAATGCATACTGTATTTATATTGCCAAAACTCTGTCTATCTGCAATTATGCGACTCTGTAGCTGGTGGAGACGGATCGCATTATTTGCCCTGACCATGTCCACTAATGCAAGTTCTTGTTGTTCAGTAAATAGGCGTTGACATCCACCGCCAGTAGGTCTTCTGATCATTCTGTAGAAAACAATGCAACCAGTATTTGGAATCGTTTTGTTCTATTTTTCAGTACTATACAAACTGTACTTTACTGTATTTACTGTACTTGTATTACAGTACTGTAAAACATCTCAAGACATGATTATATGTGTCACAACACAAGGAGCCACCCTTCAGTACAGTACTGGTGTAACAGTACATGTACGTTACATATACATGTAAGATGAGACAGTACTGTAAATACTCAAGCTACATTAATGTAGTAGAGGAATTAAAGACATACCTGTTTTCCTGTCTGAGTGTCCTTATGATGGATGCGACCGTGAAACGGCCAAGATTGGGGTGGACTCTCTGTCCAGCTTCCCTCATGGTCAGACCATGGTTTATGACATGGTCCACCACAGTTGCCCTAATGTCATCAGAAATTATGGTCCTTGCATGGCCTCTTCGTCCACGTCCTCCTCTTGCTCTGCCTCTAGCTTCCCCCCCCCCCTCCATGCTGGCAAGTTCTCCAAAATGGCTTAGCTAAGGCCTTTTTGTAGCTGACTGATTGGTGTTCAGTTTTGTTAGTAATTGTTTTCAGGTGTGTGTCTAATTGTTTTCAGTGACAGACTGTGTTTTGTATTTTGAATAGCTGTGTTTTCCCAATGGTACTGCGAGATTTACTTTTTGAACAAAGTGTCTTATGTATGAAATAGTGTGTTGTGAGCAGGAGCTAGTGTTTTGCAGAATTGCAACCAAAGTGCAAAGCAGCACTTTTGTCTAAGGTATGGTTACACTTTGTTTAAGGCAGAGCCACAACAACTTCAAGTTGGGTTCCTTTGGTTTTAGCATCTGTCAATCGTGTTTAAGCAAATGGCTAAAACTGTATAATGATCCAACGTTTGCGGCGCTCCGGATCTTGGGGAATCCTGTAGATGGCTCATTCCTTATGTCGTCCGCGTCTGTTCTGCATCCTGGGGCACAACAGGAATCTACCATATTTCCCGTTTGATTGAGTTTTCTGACAATAACAAATAGTCCAGCTGCCGGCTTCTGCATGCCAATATGGCGCCGTTTCGATTTGAACTGTTGCATGCCGGCAGAAGTGACGTCAACTCCCGGAGCTCTATACAGATGAAGTAAGCACAAGATAACTTACTGGAAGAAACTGAATTATTATCATGAGAACCAGAACAAGACAGCCTGATAACAGTCATGTGAAAATAACAGTTAAAAAGTATGTATGTGTAATAGAAACAAAAATATATTAGAATTAGTGTAACTCACTGTGATCCAAACAATAAATCAGCCATAGCTGATTAGCAATCATGAAATGAGGTCTGGGAGTTTTTAAGTTTCATTCTTTTATTACTTTTTTTCTGAGATCTGTTAAAAGGTCACCATGGCAGCCTGTGTGTCTCCAACATCAGCTACACAATGCAGCAAGTGTAAGTTCCAAATACCTGTCTTGACCACTTCATGAATGGTTTTGTACTTTAAACAGCTAGGCCAAACCTGTTATTTTTTTTCTCCATAGCCATTTGGATCATCGGTGACCGCTGAGTGAGCCATGGTGCTCAGAGAGCTGCAGAGACCCTCTGACACAACTTTGGCCTCCCTGACGTCCGTGTCTCCTGGTTCGGTTGGGGCGGACTGAGGTGGAAAGACCTTCTCCCCTTCTTTTTCAACTCCATGCATGGAAGAGCAGCTCCTGATGTCCTTCTCATCCACTGTGGCGGCAATGACATGGGGGTGGTCAGCAGTGTGAATCTGGTGAACATGAAGAAGGAGGACCTGCACCGGCTTCACCTTCTACACCCTCATATCACACTGTTGAGAACTGTTCTTCCTTCACAACCCAATGTTCCACTCACTCTTCAGCTCTCTGGGCCCCTTTTATTATTTTAAGTATTCTTTAAATGTACCGACACTTTGTGTCCTGTTATTTTATAAAATGTGATGTAAAAAATAAATGTTTTTGCTCAATTACTAGAATTTCTTTGGTTGAGACAAAAAAGGAAGGAAGAATCATTTATGCCAAGTTTTTTTTACAACAGGCCCATTTTAAGTCCAACAGTTTCTTAGCAGCCAATAGAAATGTGTTCTTTACTAACTTTACTTGGTTTAAAAATCTTACTAAAATAAACAGAGTGCCTTATTGCAAAACCCAATCATACTTGTTATGTAAATATTAGCTTTGTAGATATTTTTTTACAGATAGATATTTGTGTGCTAAAAAAACCATAAACTTAAATAATTTGTCATTCTTTATTGAAAAACAACAAAATACAGATGAGTGACTGGCCACCTGCTGCTTTTGTTCTCCTGCCAGATGAGATGATGGTTACAGGTGTGAGGATGCACCTTCTGTTATAGCCACATTAGAGGAGTGCAGCCTAGCTGAGGAGGAGAGAAGGAAAAACCACACAGAGTAGAATACTAACTAATAATTACTATTTCTTGTTGTGTAGCTCACCTTACGTGCACTTTAAAACCTGGACCTGTGCCTGCTCACAGCATCCCGTTTGTCTGGTCTTTGGAACTGGGCACAGAGAGGTTCTGGAACAGGAATTTTAATAATAATAATAATAATACATTTTATTTAAAAGCGCCTTTCAGGACACCCAAGGTCACTTTACAGAAAACACGTGATAAAATACAATAAAACAATAATAAAACCCAAACAAGAAAAAACAAAGAGAGAAACAGTTCAATAAAATCAGAGGTTGTAGGCAGATTTAAACATATGTATTTTGAGTTTTGATTTGAAAAGGGTAAAACTGTCGATGTTCCTGATGTCTGGAGGAAGTGAGTTCCAGAGTCGAGGAGCAGAGCGGCTGAAGAGCTTTCAGCCGCTCTGTCTGAGTACTCCTGATATGGGAGAGGATCCACCACCACAGAGTCGAACGGGAGGTCCATAAACTTGTGCAGGTGGAGCTGAGATTGGGGCTGTAAGGCTGGGATCAACTGACGACGCCCGGTCGAACTAGCTACAAGCTAACCTGAAGCTAACCCAAAGCTAACGCGGAGGTGGGAGCTAAGCTAACGGAGGTAGCAACCTAGCTACAACCGGAGTTAACTGTGCACAACACCAGAGCTTCTGAGTTAGAGATACGTCGGGCTGACCGCAGGGTAAAACCGGGTGGAACACAGAGGTCTCCGAGACCTCCACAAGCCGGCAGCTGCACAGCAGACAAGCGCTGCTGCGATCTGAGATGCGCAGAGCTGCCGCTGGGGAGACCCGGGTGGAAAGGTTTCCATCCCAGAGCTCCACAAGCCGGCAGCCCACGCAGCAGACAGAAGCCGCGATCAGACAGAGATGCGCCGAGCTGCTGGGAGGGGAGAACCGGGTGGAAAACATCGGTCTCCCGAGAGCTCCACAAGCCGATAGTCGGAGCCCAGCTCCACCAACATGTTATATTTCAACCCATTTTCTAAAGTGCAGCATTATGTTAAATGCACTGGGTTTTACCCTATTACATTTAAATTTCATGGTTAAACTGTACATGTTAAAATCTAAGCTCAGCTCGGCAGTGACCTAAAATACATAAATATAATTTTACTTACCGAAAAAAATGAAGTAGAGACTCCTTGGACGCTTTATTAGTGCAATTAATGCCACATCAAGTCATTTTGTCCAACAATTGCACAAAAAATATCCAAAAAAAGAATACACAAACACAGAGAGTCAAAATGCCGGAGCAGTTTCCAAGCCAGACCGAGGCTCTACTGAGCCCTTTCCACGGAGCTAGCTCGGTGGTCACGTGGGTCTGAGGCGGCGGTCACGTGTGTCGGATGCTCATTAATTATACAGAATTTTAGGCTTTTAATACACTTAAACAGAAGAGTGAGAAAATATTCACCCCCTCAGAGTTGTCATGAGTGTGAACTAGATCATTTAAACAAAAAACATGTTTTGGTACCAGGCTGTAAACATGTTTATTTCTGCTGTGAAATTGGTATTTTTAACATGGGAGTCTATGAGGATTTGCTTGCTTCTGACACCAGCCCCCAGTGGATGAAGGTGGAACTGCATTTTTTGGTACTTCCGGGTTGGGCCCATTGTGCCGCATTGTGGGGGCTTGGTAATATTGTCTCAATCCTAGCACCATAGTCTCCCTGCTCCGTGATCCTTCTACAGAAACTCACATTCACTCATTTTATTAACTGTAATGTACTTTTGTAGTCTTCCTAGGTTATTAACATGTTTCTTTTTGTCAGACTAGTCAAATGATTTCTCAACAATAAAACCCAATGTTACCTGAGTGTAAACATCTCACCCTGATTGTCGATTATTTATTATACTGTTAAAGTTTTCAGATGTGAGTTTATACACTGTAGTTAGAAATAGTCTGTAATAAGGCTTACAAAAGTAGTATTTTTCCTGTTTAATTAGCTGAATTAACAATAGTTAAAGACAGTAATTTATTATGCTTTAACAGCATCTTTCACAGCGATCACTCTGGGTTACATGATAGCTCTGGTTAACGGATACAGATCATTACAGAACATCCAGCTGAACTTCTTATTCAGACTCAATGACAGACATAGATAGCGGGTTGTGTCATAACGTGAACATAAAGCTTCTGTTTCTGGAGTAGTTCAGGTTTGTGTTGCATGCTGATTTAAAACAAGAAACCAAACATAAAAGGATTTTTTGTAAACAATTCAGGACAAGTCTATGACCCTGCTTTAACATAGTGAAAAGCTTTGTTACAGTACACACGACTTCATAAGGCTAGTAGAAAGCAACACACCACCCAGAATCCTGACAATGTTCACTTAAAATGACAGAAGAAGATCAATTACAATAAAAAGTTTGGCCTTTTCACTAGCATACAGGAAACAAAATCGAGCAAAGAGAACATACTATGCTGACACCAACGAACACAAATGCAGTTTCTGATTCCAGACACTTCAGTCTTAGAGTTGGTCTCTATGAAGCCAGCTCCATAGGCCCCTCCTCCTCACCATCGGCACGGTTAGCCCGAATCTCCATCAGCGTGCGAGCAAAGCGTGCCCAGTCATCAGGGTGGGCCACTGACAGCTGGGGGTCACAGACCACAAGAGAGTTAGCACGGCCAAGTTAAGCATCACTGTGTTGTATTAATCTTATTTATTTAGATCCACAAGGAGACACACTGACTGAACATTACATAAGCTTCAAAAACTCCTGAAAAGTAGAAGAGGTAAACTGAAACACTGCAGGTGTGTTGCTGGAAGAAGACTAAACAATTTTAGGAATGACACAAACAGAATTGTTTGGGAGGAGTTCCTCTGGGAGGATGTTTCGGTACCTTTCTTTATCAGTCCCTGATCCAAAGCAAAAATCTGAGTGAGTCCACACCCTTGTGATGAAGTTCGTCTGATCTCCTTCACAGCATTCCTGATGTTATTCCATCTACCATTATAATAACTGAAGCAGCAAACTTTGTGACAGGTAATGTTTGTGTCATTCTCCAAACTTCTGTCAACTACTGTTCTATACTCGGGCTTTACTTCTCTTCGTCTGCCATTTCTTCTAGACAGCAGTATTCTTAAGGAGTGACAGCTATTGTTTAGAACTGCAGAGATGTTAACAGAAACGTCAGGATAAACTCTAACTTCTCTTTGCTGGCATCACTTAGGTCTAATTTAGGCTTTACTGTGGGACAGAAGCTACAGGATGTCAGCCAGCTGTTCGTATAGCTGGACTGTAAATAATCAATACACTGGTCAGACTTTGGGGTTGTTTTAGAAGGTCTAAAATAACAGCCTGACTACAGCAAGCTTTGATGATGAAGACACACTCTTAAATGATGTCTGGCCTAAATAATTTAAACATCCATAACAGCTAAACCACTGAGACTGGACACTTGGATTTTTACTTGAACTTTCCACACGAGCAATTAAGTCTTAATAGGAAAACCTGACGATAGATATTCTTCAGATAATTTATTTAAAATCAAATTAAACTGAAATGGAAATATTTGAGTCTTTTTCTTTTCCGGGAAATTCTGAAGACATGCAGTAATTCCCAGGACAGCGCTTTGGAAACCGCGGTTTTCTTTTTTTTCAACTTTCTGTTCCCAGTTTTAGCCATACGGGCAAGTCTGTAGTAAAGTAAATACCCACACACACACACACACACACACACACTGCTCATTGGAGTCATAAAAACTTTAAGCCTCACTCACTTTTATGTATGTCTCTTCGTTACCATCAAACCCAGCACAGAGACCACCGGCTCTGCTGAGCCTCCCTCCAGTTTACCACACAACAAAAAGATGCTAAAATTAACTGAGTGGCTAGGCTAACATACAGTCACATAGGGATCTTAACCAGAGACTCTAAAACATGAAGAACATATAGAACGGACAGAGCGGCCGGCTGCTTTGTGGTGGAGAGGCACTTTAAAGGAAAAGGAGGAAAACTCAAAAAAAAATTTAAATAAAAAACCCTTTCAAATTCTCATTTGAGTTTCATGTAAAAGTTTTCTAGTAAATTTATTCCAGCTGTGATAATTTAGGCAGCTTTATTTATTTTAAAGGAAACACAATTCGGAATCAGTTTAGCTTATGTGTGGCGATGCATTTAGAGAGAACAGGCAGGAGGCGGATCTAGTTCAGCTTCACTAAAACGGTGAAATGGTTGCTTTTCACACCCGGGCTGTAATTAAAGCTAAATTCAAAAGAACCTGCATTCACAAAGAATCCAATAATTAGTTTTTAATTTACACTAAAACAAGCTGACTAGAGATGCATGTTTTTCTAAATTTCTTTAACCGGTTATTGACTATCTTAATGGTTAATAAACGGTTAAAGCTTCTATCCGGAGTATTTCTCTTATCCAATGGCACCATCTAGTGGCTGACAAGCATATCACACAAAACCGCTGTTCCTCTGTTTATTTAGGATGGCGACTTCACGTTTCTGTTTGTAAATGTTTTTCTGTAGCTGACAAACTGAGCTAAAACACGCTGTTTTACGAGTATTATTCTCATGTTGTGTTTTCATACATTTATATTTTAGAGACTTTCTTGTCCGTGAAAAGTTCATCAACTCTGCATCAGCCGAGGTGTTCCTTAAATGTGAAGTGTCTTAAGGGGTAGTTTAACGCTATTGGTTAGTTCTGGTCGGTGCTCAGTTTCCTATTGCACAGAGCTCTGCCAGGCAGGGGGCGTGCTTAGCAAAAAAATAAAAAAAATAAGACATATTGCTTATATTATGTCACAGTGCATGATAAGATAATCACTTTTACGGATTTCTGACAAATCATACACAATTTCTGAAAGAGGAAAACTCCGGAAAGCAGCTTTAACCGGAACACCCCCCTTCCCTGACACACACACACACACACACACACACACACACACACACACACACACACACACACACACACACACACACACACACACACACACACACACACACACACACACACACACACACACACACACACACACACACACACAAACCTTTGCCTCTACTCTATAAACAATACAACTAGGGATGGGTACCAGATTTGGTACTTTTTAAGGCACCGACCGACTGAGTACCGATTCACGTCATATGAAACGATGCTTTGTTTCGGTACCCGTTCTTCATAATGAGAACTTGCGAGACAGCAATTGGCCAAGATAGACAGCAGCGCCGGCGCAAGAGCATAATTCTTCAGTCACTGTGGGCGAGCTGTAAACACAGCTTGTAATGGGTAACTGGGTGATGATGAAACCAGCGACAACATTCTAAGTCATCATCTTAATCTGCTTCGGTAGGTAAATAAAATGTTTAAGATAAAGTTAGCTTGATATGTTAGCTTCTATTCAGCTAACAGTGTACTCGCTTTCTCCTCGGTACTCAGAAATCCCGACTAGAAGAAAGCGAACGCGCTCTATAGTTTAGCTTCACTTCACTAAATGCAATGGGCTTTTGGGTGATGATGAAACCAGTGACAGCAATCTAAGTGTGAGGCATCTTTATCTGCTCCAGCAGTAAAATAAACGGTTTAAGATAACGTTAGCTTGATATTTTAGCTAATGATGCATTTGCTTTGTTCTCAGAAATTCCAGGTAGGGAAAATCAACAGTTTGAAAAAGAACAGGGAAAGAAGAGGGTATAGGAGTACATGGAGCTGGTTTTAGTTTAGAAACTGTTGTGGTTTCAGATTTTAATATTGAAGAAGTTTGTACAAGACTACGATGATAAAATACAAACTGTTGTATGTTATTTGTCGTGATATTTATCAAATATGGTTATATGTAGAGAAAAAATATATATTTAATTAAAAAAGAGATTAAAATGATTGTTAAACATTCAAAAGTATCGAAAATTGGTACCGTTGAGTATCGCTATCGATACGTAAGTACCGAGAATCCCCTTAAATGTCAAAGGTACCATCCCTAATAATAATACTTTCCCCGTCTGCTCTTAATATAATTCAGAAGCACAACCCAAGTCCCACACTCATCACAGTGTTTAAAAACTAAAAGGGATGAGAGTTTGATGAGAGCTGATATGTCCATCAGAACCTGCAATGGGCCGTCTGGCATCAAATGGCCATGCTTAGATAAACACTTGAGTTTCCTCACATTGAACTAAATAATTACACATTTCTTTATTTCACTAAACAAATTACTCTTAGGAGGAAGATGCAAGCATGAGCATCATGGGAGGCTGACCTGTTTACTTGCTGGTCTCGGTTCATTTTACTGTGCAGCGATATTTTCCACGTTCTGCCGGGCTCAGCGCTCAGACGTGGGGCTCAGCTTGTTACCTCCCAAGAATAAAATGCTCCCACGCTGCGCTTTTTCTTGACCACTTCATCTTTGTAAATGTGCGATTATTGTAAGTGAAGAGCTATGTTTTTTTTAGTAAACAGAGCTCTTACACCCTCTAGTGGCACTGATGAAGCAGTTTAATTAACTTCCCGTTTCCCAGTGTGCTTAGCGGCATGAAGGTGTTCAGTAGCTGAACCGTGAGTGAGAGGGAACAGTCTGTTCTTGACGCAACTTGTGAACAATCACGAAAATTGAGTTGTTGTTCTTTACTCCTGTCAATACTGACTCAATGCATTCAACTAAGAACTTATAACACACAAAAACAGTTAACCGGGTAATGTTATTGTAACCGGTTATGACCCTGATGGAGGTTAACTGATTAACTACGTACATCCCTAAAAATGACTGAATATTATGAACCAGTTCCTACATAACTGAATGAAACACACTTTGTGTTCCACGCAGACTCTCTGCATGATGTTTGTAATATAAATAAGCGGTACGTGGGTGTTATCTGTACCTCTCCGGTATCGTAGATCCAAACTCTGCCCTCTGAGTCGCCCACAGCCACCTCCCTCCCTCCTGACGACCAGCGGACCCTGTTGAGAGCCGAAGCGCCCTCAATGGTCACGCTGGCAGCCGGCACCTACATAAAGAGGGTAGAAGACTGAGTTTACCACAATGACTCTTTATTTCTGATATTCATTGGTCTCAGTTCGGGCTGCTCTTACTTTACCTGCTGAAACAAGAATCAAAGACATTAGCAGAGCAGAGACATTTTCCTTATCATCAGAGGCATTTTGGCACATTTCCTGGCGGTTCTTAATAAAACAGGACATATTAAACAGCAGCAGAACCAAAGACAAGAAAACTATAAAGATTCCTGGTAGAAAAAAAAGATTAATAATCAATAATTTCACGAACACTAAAGCAGGGCTGTCCACTCTCACACATTGAGCAGGCCACGGGAGAACTGAATTTGCAGTAACAGGTGATGGACTTGCAGTGAGAACTGGACTTGCTACTGGACTTATTTCAAAATTTTACATTTTAGATCAGTAATGTGGATCTTTTTAATTTGCTTATTTTTGTATGAGTGTTAGCTCGTTGTTAGCACTAGCTACAGCAGGCTGCAGCAGAGTTGTTGGCCACAGCTGTAATTCCGATTTGAACCAGTAGAAAGCGAAAGCAGAGAAACTTACCTTGTGTTGATTTAACCCTCTCAGGCTCAAAATAAGTTTTGATAAAAGGACAAACAACTAAGTCATTCAGGAGTACTTCTGAGTAAAAAATGCTCATGAAATACGTATGTGGAGTAACCAGGTAGGTAGGTTTTAACGTTGCAAATCTGCAACGCCTGCCTCCAGAGGGTTAAAGCACAAGTGTGTGAAACAGACAGCATTTCTTTTAGTCTTTTTTACTGATTTGAGACCCAGAAGTTAGCTCTTTTTTTCTTTTTAGGAAATAGCAATAATATCTGATTATAGCCCAAGTCTACCACTTAGAACAGCGTCATCCCGACCCACTAGATGTTAACAAAACAAAGCTGTCAAACGTACAACCCCTCTTTCAGCCCGACACATCCAGTGTGAGTTACTGTAGAATAAATCATACATGAAAGTCATTACGGCTGCACTGACTTTCTTCTTAGTGCTCATGTTGCACCTTTAATAAACCCCCAAAACCATCTGCAGTGTTTCCATAAACTGTTTCTGACATGTGGCAAGCGGGTCTGACACATGTCACCAGTGGAGACAGAGTCCCGGGCATCAGGACTCCTAACACACCAGCCTCTGCGCACACCAAGCAGAGCTGACCACAGACTGGATGCTATTAGCTCGCTAGCCTCCATTCCCCCTGCAAAACTGGATCTGAACGGTTTTGTGTATGTGTGTGTGTGTGTGTGTGTGTGTGTGGTGGTGGTGGAAATGAGAACCAGGCATACTGCAGCTCTGTTAATGCTGTTATGACTCTGTTTTTTAATATGATGGCAACAATGAAAGTCTGTTACTATTAGGCTAGAATTGTGAGTGAGCGAGTGTGTGTTCATGTGTGTGTGTGTTGGATGCATTCGTTTTCGACAGAGCAAATGTTTCTCATAAAGCACATTGTTAGCTGAGTTAAGCCTCGATAATGAACTCTTCCTCCGTCTGTGAAAAGGCTGCTGTTGAGGGAGCCATGGGAAACATGCCGTCTGAGCAGCTGAAGGAGGAACCGGTTGTGATGGACTCTCGTGGCGCTGAGAACAGAAGCTACACAGAGATGTGACCTAAAGTGAGAAGACGTGACTTATATGGCGGAGTGGGGAGAAAATGAGAAGAGTGAGGAAGCGCGTATGTCGTGATGCTGACTTGTATTGAGGTTAAAGTCACTGTGGGTGTTGTCTCCATGGAAACCAAGAGAGAAGGAGGATGGAGGATCCTTTTATCCCTACTTTTACCTGAGTGATCAAAGGCTTGGTGCCAGCTCTGGGAGAAAGACTACTATTTTTCAGAACCATGCTTGGATGTACATATTTGCTTCATATGACAAGATGGAAGAAACGAAACCGTTCTCACCAGTTTACTAGAAACAAGCAGGCCATCAAAAAAGTTTCTGCCTATTAGACACAAGATAAAAGTCCTCTACAATTCACTCACTCACTCACTCACTCACTCACTCACTCACTCACTCACTCACTCACTCACTCACTCACTCACTCACTCACTCACTCACTCACTCACTCATCCTAATGTGGCCAGACTGATTTGACTACAGATTCTGCTAAAAAGGAAACAAAATTTCAGTGTTTCAAATAAAAGAGTTTTACAACTGGCTGGACACAAATTCTGGCTAAAACATGTGACTGAAGTGCTCAACAGGAACCGGAGCTTTCTTAGGACCAGCTTTTCCCATTTCCAGCATTCAAAGCTCCGGCTCTAGCACCAACACGCTGGTGTTACCTCCTAGCCTGGCTAAACATCCTAACCCTAACCCATCCAATGTAAAGCCTGGTTCATGCTTCTCCGTCAGCTCCGCAAGGGACAGACACGCACGGATTGACGGAAGCGTTTTGCTCTTTTACTTCTCCGTCTCCTGGAGTGTTGCAAAGCAATTGCCCGGCAGGACAACAGAGGGCGTAGCGCTGTTCTGTGGTATCCTGTCACGTATCGGTCCAAGATCGTGTGTTTATATTGTGTTTTTGTGTATATAAGAGACTTTTTCACGGACATATATGTCTCTCATTCTCCCACCGCTTCATGCGCTCCCCACCTCTAAACCCACGTTTCCTGTCATTTCCGTCCACAAATAAAACGCTTGCTGCGCATCTTTTCACTCCTCCAGTCACGGGAGAATTAAACGATGATATTTTTAGAGTTTTTTCGCGAGGTATTCTTCAAGCTTCTCCGTGTCTGCCGCTAGTTATCCTCGGCTCTCTTTGCAATGGCAGCGCTGTAAACAACAGCGGCGTCCTGACCAATCACAAGCTTGCGTAATCCGTCTCGTTCAACGGATGTTTAAAAAAGTGGGCTCGACTCCGTACGTACTTGCGTGCCTGCCGGAGCCCTACGCAAGGACGGATAATGGCGCTGCGTGTCTCCGCACTGACGCAGACGGAGAAGCATAAATCAGGCTTAACTAGATAGTCTAGCCTAGGGCTGGGCGATACGGCCTAAAATCTATTTCACGATATATTGAGGATTTCACCTCGATAACAATAAATGGATGATAACTACAGTTATGCACAGAAACAAAAGTTGTCCACTAGATAGGGCTGTCACGTGTATTACGCTGAGTCACATTTTTAGTACAGCTTCATAAAGGGACATGAACGTTGCCAACCTACACCCATCTTATAATGTTTTTATTATCAAATTTATTGACATGGGAAAAATTATCTCGATTAGAGTCAGAAATTTCGATGACAATACATTTTTGATTTTTTGCCCAGCCCTTGTCTGGCCACAACCCATAGAGAAAGCTCAATCTTGGGTTGAGACCTATGGTTGTCTTTCAAACTGTCTCCAAATGCAACTGGACAGCACTACGACCAATCAGAGCAACAAAGAGTATTCATCGCTATAGCAATCAATCAACTGGGCAGTCTGCCGACCATCGCTGAAGAAAAAGAAACAAATACATATTTTTTTCTAAATAAAGGACTATCTTTAACGTATCTTTATCTGCTCTTGACTCAAAGAAAGCCCATGTCTAAATTGTTGATGCCAAAACCAAAACAAATGAGTGCCATTCCTGAGCCGACGCCATCTTTGTATTTTTCCCCCATTGCATGACTCAAATTATTACAGTGATAGCCCCACCTGGTGGATGACTTTGTTTCTGCTCATACATGTAGTTATCATCCATTTATCGAGGTGAAATCCTCAGTATAACGTCATATTTATTTTAAGCCATATTGCCCAACCCCAGCTGATGGAAAAACTCTCATTTAGAACTATTTAATATTTAAATTTTGAAGTTAGGGAGCTTTGAAAGTGTTAAAATACTGGCTTTACCATGTCTTTAGAACAAAAACAATTCAAGAAAATAATGCAATAATTCCACATCAATGGCCTTAAATGCTCCCTTTCTAAAATATGCACTCCCTGAATCCTTCCCTTTTTTGTTATTTTCATGGGACTGTGGACTGAGGACTGGGGCTCCCTGCTTGTGGCCTGCAGCACATCTGTGCGCTCCTCTGATGGGACACAGTGTGGGAGGAAGAAGGTTCTGAGGTTATCTGAATGTTAGACGGAGGTTGTAGAAATGTTGGTGGGGTGGCTGGGCGAGAGCCACGAGGAGAAGATGTCACCCAGTCTGATTTAGAGCAACGCTGTGGGAAACGCCTACAGGGAATCGTGTGTGTGTGTGTGTGGTTCCGGCTGAGCCCCAGCAACAGGCCCTGAGGGACGCCAAACATGCACATCAACACACAACAAGATGACCCTCACTACACACCCATTGTGACCTAAATTCACACACCTCTGTGTCGTTGTTGAGGTTCCACAGGTCCAAGCGACCCATGCCATCCACTGCTGCAAACGTGGCGGGATGCACCGGCGACCACATGACATCATACACATAGTCGGCATTGTCCTCAAAAGAGTACAGGGGCTTGTTGTGCTGAAAGACAGAAGAAAGAAGAGAGGATATCTGTGAAAGAGTGTTTGAGTGGCATGGTGTGAAATAGCACTGAACATAAAAACGGAGAGAGCAGGGATTACAGCAGATGACACACCAGAGATAGATGGAAAAGAGTGAAAAGGAATGGAGAGAGGGAATGAGTGAGCTTCAGACAGAGTGGCGCTGCCTCAGCCTTGGGGCCTGTCTGGGTGCAGAGTCTAATTAAAAAGCCTTGCACATTCACACAGCACCATAAAACCACTGGGAGAGATGAAAGGGACGGGCCCTCCACAAGGTGTACTGTAACCTTAACACAACAGCTGTTGGAGAGATGGGAAAAGATAGGGAACGGGACGAAAGGAGGGGCGGACAATGGACGGGAAAGAGAAGTGATTGAAGTAGGATGTATGTGTGTTTAATACCCACAAATAGGTTTAGGGATCCTGGAAGTTTATTCCCAGGCTTAAACCGCAATCATAAAGTCAGCAGTCTCATAAATACATCAGCTGATCTTCAGTTTTAACAAAAACAAATGTCAGTAAAGATTTCTACCCAAGTGCTGGGACATGGACATTTAAATAGGAAACTTGTCAGTGCTCTCTAGTGGACAAACTGTGTCACAGTGACACAAGCCATTCATGAATGGCTCGAGTAGTTTTGTTCTTCCTGCTTCAGATGTTTGAGCTCAGACTGATGAAATAAACCCAGTCTTGATCAGTTATTTATTTATTTCCCGTGTCCTGTCTGGCTGCGAAGCAGACATAATTGATGTCTGGATGCTGGTGACAAGCCTTACAGATTTACTCTCAGGTGGAGCATCAAAGTGTCTGCTTTTAATGTTACGCCTGATACTTAAAACTTTATTGTTATTGTTTTTGAATGCTTTGTAATTCCGACCAGACACGGAGTCAGAGGTGAAAGAGAAAGGAAAAGACAAAAGGTGGGGAGAGAGGGGGGAGGGGGGTTTCCACAAAAATAAACAATAATGAACAAGAGTCTGCTTCTAGACCTGCAGAAAGAGAAAAAACAGAAAAAAATGGGACACACAACAATACATCAGGAGCAAGCTATCACTGCGTCAGCCTGATGATGAAATATAAAATCAACATTGTTTAACACAGATGTGTATCACAATAATAGGGGTTAAATAATGGAACAATTTAGAAGAAGAAATAAAAGTAAGTACACATATAAATGTATTTAAAATGAATTATAAAAAACATATTCTGAACAAGTATATAGTGGAAAATAGATGATTTATGTGGGTGTCCTTTATTCCAAGGAAAAGTGAATTGTATCAATTGTAAAAAGATGTTTTTTTTTCTTTTTTGTTTTTTTTCCCATATAATTTGGGGGTTTTTGGTGACTTGTACCATTTTGTTTGTTTTAATGTAGGTTTTGTGTTAGATTTAGTAAACAAGTAAAATTTACTTGTATAAAGGGGTAGGGATATATAAGTTTCCACTTCAGCCAACTCCTTTTCAAACACAGAAGAAGGGATGATATGTATTTTTTCTGTTTAAGGTATTTTTTTTAATTATGTATGTTTTCTTTGTTTGAAATAAACTAAACTAATAACTGAACAATCACACGATAATAAATCACAGTGCATTTAGTGGCAACGACAGCTTTAAGACATGTGTTGAACGTGCCCAAGCCCATACTTTTGAGAGCACCATGTGAGCACCTGTGTGTGTACACGCGCTTGTTTATGTAAGGTTTCTCTATAAAAGCGTCCAATAGAGAGTGTGAGGGACCACAGATCTGCCCCCCAAAGATGTGTAGGAGACAGAGGGAGCTCCAAGTCCCAGAGATCAAGGCGCTGCCCCAGAACACAGGAACCCCAAGGAGACTGCAACCAGAAAGGCCCCCGCCCCCCTCGAGAGGCACAGAGGATCGCCCCGGGGGGCCACAACCAGCAGCCGGCAGTCCCGGGAGATATCAGCGACAAGCCCACAGGCCCGCCCGCAGCCTCCCACCCCCTAGCCGGCCGAGCCCGGGACCCAGCGACCCAGGGCCCAGGGGCGACCACCCCGCCGGGGACCCAGCAGAGTCCAGGGACCCAGACCCCACCAGACAGCCACCAGGATTGATCAGGCAGATGCCAAAAATTTTAAACCCCCTGACCCGGGAGCCACGAACACTCAGGCAGACTGAGGCACCACACTCCACACCAGGTGTGGCAGGGGGAGGGGAGACGACGATCTATATCATCAAAAGAAGTCCCAGGAGAAGAAAGGAGCCAAAGGCCCCACCTGACATATACAGTCGTACACAAACACAGTCACACACTCCCTCCTTCATGCTCACACATACACATACAACCCAAGACTTAACCAGACGGCCAGATCTCCCTCCTAGCCTCCAACCCCAGGAAGACAAGCAACAACAGAGGTGTGCTAAGATCCCTAGTCTCCCTCCGCCTGCTCCAATTTAGTGTTATTGTGTGTTGATGAGGTGTATTCCATGGCTGTGGTGAGCGGGCAGTGCGGGCATTGTCTGGCCTATGCCAGCTGATGCCACCGCACCACCCCACTTGCACCCACAGCCCTCGGTGGCACTCGGGATGAGGCTGAGAAATCCCCCTGCCAACTGCCATTGAATGTGCTCACTCCCAAGGCCCTATGTGTGTGTTTGCGTGGAATGTCGTTGGTGGAAGTGTTTAATGTACAAATAAAATTGAGGGGCAGGTTGCCACAGGAATGCGGAAATGGGGTCCCTGACTTGTCCACCCCCCAAGGTCCTATGTGCATGTTTGTGTGATGATGTGAGGGAGCAGGAGGAGAGAAATATGCGGGGATGGGGAGGAATGGCTGGTTGGGCTTAGCCCTCCAAGTAGCCAGCTCTCCCACTGGCCCCAATAGGCACCTCTGTTGTCAAAATGCCACCCAGGGCATGGAGACCCCAGCCCATCTTGCCAGGACCCAAAGCAGCAGCATTGCAGAGCCTCACGGAGTCCGAGGGCACCAACCCAACCCCACCCCAGCAGAATATCTATGCCCATCCCTGCATTTGCACAACTTCCAGAATATATAAGACATGGGACATCCAGGTAAGATTGGGTCCTCCCCCTCCTGGACCTCCCCCTCCCCTGTGATGGGACAGCAGAGGAGCCAAGGTCTACCCGAGGCCCCTGAGCCCGGGTCAGGCACTGCTGCATGTTCCTGCCTTCTTCCCGACAGCATACATGTCAGGACCCGACCCCCAAGGCCCCGCCCAGATCCCCACACGGGGCCGGCCACCCCCACACCCCAAGCCCCCAGGCCCCCACCCAGACCCGCCCAGGGGCAATGCAGCTGCCAAGCAGCGACCCATGGCCGCCGCCAAGACCTCCAAGGGGCCCCACTCACAACCGCCAGTAGTCCACTCCCCGAGGCAACCCAAGCACCTCCAGAGGGGGGCAACGGCCCCCCAGTCCCAGACACCCCCAGTGAACCCACCTCCAGGGAACATCCGGATACTCCAAACTCAGACCCTCCACCCCCTCACCCACAGGACAATATCAATGGTCCCCCATCATCGCTATGTGATGGAACTGATCAAAGGAGCCCAGAGAGATTGATCTGAAGTGGAAGCAGAGGCTATATCAAGTGTAATATGATCTAACAAAAGATTTCTATACTGGTTAATGCAGAGAGTTTCTCTATTTTTCCAATTCAAGAGGATAGTTTTCTTAGCGATGCATATGGCAGTCAGAACCACGTGAACCACAGATGTTTCAATCGGGACATCGTCCAGGTTTCCCAGTAAACAAAGAGAGGGGGAAGTTGGGATATGACATTTCAGAGACTTTGACAGATCCTCACATACTCTACCCCAAAATTCCTGGACAGGTGGGCAGGACCACAGTGCATGAATGTAATTGTCAGGAACGTTGTTTGTGCAGTGTGTACAGGTGTCAGACAACACAAACCCCATCTTGAACATCTGATGACCTGTATAGTGTACTCTGTGTAGAATTTTGTACTGAATTAATTGTAAATTGGGGTGTCTGATCATTTTAAAAGTTTTTAAACAAGTTTGGGACCAGAAGTTCTGGTCAAAGCTGACTGATAGATCCACCTCCCATTTTTCAATAGGGATTACTATTCTATCGTCTATTTTGGACAGTGTCTTATATACTTTAGACAGTAGTTTGGGGGGTTTGAGATTATAGAAGTCTAATACCCTTAGTGGTGTTTGCAATTCTATTTTATTGAGTTTAAATTTTTGTTTGACTACAGATTTAATTTGGTGATATTCTAAAAAGCTATTCTTATCTATTCCAAATTGGGAGACTATTCGATTAAATGGGATCAAGTCCAATCCTTCATATATGTGTTCCAGGTATAGGATCCCTTTATTTTTCCAGTCCGGAAGGTTCATCATTTGGTTATTTTGCAAAATATCAGGATTATTCCAGATAGGTGTGCGTCTGCATGGTACTAGTGAGACGCTGTCATTTTTAGATACTCCCACCATGCTGTCAGAGAGTTGCTGATACTAACACTTTTGAAGCTTAATCAGTTTTTATGCAGCTGATGTTATCAAGGTCACACCTGAGTCAGAAGGACTTCATGTTTCCCAGAACAAAAGGATGTGTGAAGAGCTCACAGCTACTTTATTGTGTGGTTAAACCTCTTCCTCCTCCATCAACAGTAATAAAACCATTATAGGCAGATACCACAAAGTAAACAATTAAATTAAAAAAATATATATTAAATCACAGATCAAAAGCTTCCATTGTTAAGTATAACCACATTTCGCTGTTAAGACATACTGATTTCTACTATTTCAGGCAAGCCTTTTTAGTTATAATATTTCTGCAGCAATGCTTTTATTTAACTGAACCATGATTAGTTTTCTTTTATAATTTAAGGATAGTAGGTAGCTTCACAAATAATAAGAAAAATGAACACAATAATAAAAAATAACTATGTTGACAATGCAAGAATTAGGTTTATGTAGTTATCATCTGACTGGTAAAAATTACTAAAGCTCAGATTTAGTTTGATCCTCAT